CCTCATTTAAAAATGACATAGAAAGCTATGTAGCAATCTGCTCGATTTGTTGCTAAATGCAAGCAGGGGAAAACTCCCAGTCTACTGCAGCCAGTAGCCAATCCTTCAGCACCATGGAGAGAGATCTCCATGGATTTCATTCTAGAATTGCCCGAGAGTTCTGGAAATATGGTGACCTGGGTTGTTACCGACCTTTTTTCAAAGCAGGTTCACTTCGTCCCATGCCAAAAAGTACCTATGGCCAAAGCCTTGGGTAAGTTGTTTTTGGGTCCACATATACCTCTTGCATGGGGGGCCACGATGTATTGGTCCAATTCAAGTCCAATGACAGACTGGTCCAATTTACATCCAAGTTCTGGAAAGCCTTTTTGGGTCTACTTGGAACTGATCAGGGACTTAGTTCTATCCCTCATCCACATCTGCTTCTTTTGTCCTTTGAAAGGAACTGTTTGCCTTCACAAGTTCTACAAAATGTGATAAAGATCTCTGAGAAACTTATGAAAAAAACTCTCTTTAATTTACAAGTTTTATTCAAAAATTTTAATAAAAAACTTGATGGGCCAGCAACAGTTTTGAATCAGTCCCATTTTACTGGAATGGGCCATAATCTATGTAATTCTAGTTAGTGTAGCCCATATTCATTCCAATAATGCTTACAAATCTTATTATAAATGCCATTTATTCAGCGTTCCTGTACATGTTAGCAGGTGACTGAGATCTCAATTATGTTCATGACTGTGTTTAAAGCACTTTAAACTTAGAGCATCTTTCTTTTTTATTTGTCCAGGCAGAACTCAGCCAAAATCCCAGTTTTGAAGCTATTGATAAAATTTCACTCTATTCCTGCCAACGAAGCTGATGCAGTAGCTACAGTAAATGTGTGATTCTGCCAGTTCATATATTCATTATTACAAATAATTCTAAAATGTGCTGCTAAACATGCTAGGTACTTGAAACTTTTTATAATCTGTATTTTATGGATATGAAAAAATAAAGGATGCCATAGTAACTTTGATGCTCCTATTTGTGTGCATGAATAGCCCAAATCATGCTTTGCAATGCCTTATACTTAGCTAACATTGAATTTTGTTTCTACCCTGAAAATAGATGAAGTACTATATAATTCCACAGTGTTAGGCATTGTGAAAATTGCAAGACTCTCCTCTTCATCACAGCCACTAGATCCCAAGAACATAAAAAGAGTTACAATTTTTTTTCAAATTAATGAAACAAAAGTCTGTATATCAATATTTTTCATAAGATAAAACATTATCTTGTATAAAAGTTTATTTTGTTCTTAAAATGAGAGGTGCCCCTTTAATTGGGGAGGACACACTGGTAGACAAGATTTTCATATTTTCCCGTACAAAATTGTGCTGTCGCACTGTTGCTGATCTCATGTACGTATTCTTGCAAATTACTTTTGCTGAAGCAGTGGGTGGGATAGTCTTTGGGAGTAGACCATTAATTTCATACATCCATTGCATTGCTGCGGTCTGAAAACATAGAAGAAAAGATTCAATAAAAGTTTTATTTTGTTACTGTGAAGCATATAGAGGTATCTGGCACAATGCCTGTAATTATGTCTTTCATTGTTTTCCATGTGGGGGTGCATGGAGCATGGTACACTGTTGAAACTGCACCATAGTGGAAAGAAAGCATTACTACCCATAATAAGAAAGAGCATTTTGTTTTATGTACTAAGAGCAGCATGTTCAAATATGCACACTGTCTAGCACCCCAGGTAATCTGTGCACTTGTTAAAGTGCCACAGTTTGGATTTATGTTTCAAGGAAATTATTGCACAGTAGGAAGTACACAAAACTAACAAATAAAGCGGTGGCTTTATTTGTATCCCAGTGACTATTGGGGGTAAGCACAAAAAATAGCATAAACTTTTAGCATCTTAGTTTGAGTTAATGGGTTATCTCATAATATGGCATTGAAAAAGCAAACAGCGAGTACCCCCCTTTCCCTGAAGATAAGCCCTACCCCCCAAAATAAGCCCTACTTAAGAGCTTGCACAACTTTATGCAAACAGTTTAGAACAGTGGTGGGTTTCAAAAAAATTTACTACTAAGTCTGTGGGTGTGGCTTATTCTTTGGGCATGGCTTGACAGTCATGTGACTGGGTGTGGCCAATTTAGCCATCCATTTTGTCAATTTAGCAGTCCATTAAACAATACACAGCAGTCCCCTTTTCTATTCTTTTTAATACTGCATGAAGTTTTTGCTCTAGGTTGTATTTTAACTAAGGTTGGCAATGCCTGGGGATTTCTCCTCTGTGTTAGAGGCATCAAAATAACCAAGATGATATAAGGTCTTCTGCTGGATCACGGGGTTGGACTAGATGACCTCTGAGGTCATTTCCAGCCTTGTATTGCTGTGCTGTTTCAAAGCATCCTCTGAAACTGCATCTAGTGGCAAGTTTGTGGTCTTTCTTTCCTATCCTTTTTCTCCCTTTCTCCCTTTCTGTGAAGAACCCCAGAAGGTCTTTGGTAGGAGGAAAAAAAGCCAGATGTTTTGAAACTGAGAACATGTCCATTGATCATCTGGCATTCTTAGACCTCCACTATTGATTAGCTTAGCCTGAGACTAAGGATAGCAGCTAGCAGAGGTCTTCAAACGTGGCAACTTTAAGATTTGTGGACTTCAACTCCCAGAATTCTCCAGCCAGCAGAGGTGAATTTTGGGAGTTGAAGTCCACAAGTCTTAAATTTGCCAAGTTTGCAGACCTATGCTCCATGCACTTGGGGGTCCCCAAATGGTGACGATTTCTTTCTTTCTCCCCTTTTTTCTCCCAGGGGGCTGCAGGGAGGCTTGCTTGACACCCCCTATGCCCTATTTTGGGCCTAGCAGGCTTGCCTGAGGCCTGCTGGCAGCCAAAATGGGTGTGTCCTCTACCATGCCAGCCACACCCTATTTTGGACCTAGTAGGCCTGCCTGAAACCTGCTGGGAGCCAAAATGGGGCTTGTGGGGATCCTGGAAGAGGTGGGGGAAGGGAAGGTTGCAAGCCTGGTGGGGACGGTAGGGGGTGCACAGCAAACTCCAGGGCAGGGGGTGGGCTAGCGAGACTTACCTGTAGGCAGGAGGAGGCAGTTCAGCTGAGGCACAGGGCAGGGACCACGTGGCAGCTTAGGCAGGGAAGCTGCCTGGGAGGAAAGGAGTGACTGGGTGGGGCTGGTGGACGGGGCGAGCAACAAGGCAACTGGTTCCAGGGAGTGGCAGGCCTAGGTTGCTGCCGGTTTCAGTGACCCAGGCCGCCAAGTTACACCTATTCGGCTGAACCAGTCTAAACTGGTAGGAACCCACCTCTGGTTTACAACAAATGAATGCAATTTCTTCAATAGTGCTCTCAGAAAAAGAGAGCAGGTCATAATATTAACTATTACTGAAATTTGTATTTTATGTGAACTCTACATAGTGTACAGAGAAAATGGATCATTCTCATCGCTTACTTTTTAAAAGCCAGTAGAAGACTATAGGAAGAAATATCAGCCAGTTGAATTTAATTCTATGATCAACATTACCAAAATTTTACTCAAGTCATATTTGAAAAACAGCTTATGTTGTACTAGAGTAAAGGGTACAGCATGAATAAGCATCTTTAAAATGAGACATATTCAGTTCTAACCATACTTCAGACTTAAAATAAATGATTTACTAAAACAATTTATAGTTTCAGGACTCTCTTCCTCCCAGAATTTATGTACAGTTTTAAAATGTCACTTTAATTATAAGGAAACATTGGTATCCTTTCAACAGTGGCTCCATTTTAACCTCTTTAGGGAAAAAAAACTTAAATCACCTTTCTGTTCTCCTAATTCAAGGATGATTTGTTTATAGTTTGTGTGTGTGTGTGTGTGTGTGTGTGTGTGTGTGTAATAACTTCTAAGCAGTTTATGATATTGGTTTCTTCCTAAGGCATGAGTAGAACTGAGTTTCACACAACTGAGGGAATCCTGAGGGAATAAAATCTCACAGCTGGCAAAAGAAGAATCACCTTTTTTTAAAAAAAGGCTAAACTAACATTCTCCATGTTTAAGACATATGGAAGAAAAACCGTCACAGAATTTAAAAAAAATAAAAAACCGCCATGCATGGAAGCTCTGATTTCAAATATTCCCTTATGAACATACCTACGGTAATTGTTAAAATAAAGTAAAACTCACTTTAATATACCCCATTTAATATAGGGTTTTGGATGAAATGGGCAAATTTCCATATTGACATCTCTTTAAATGCCCATTACATCTCAAATTGTCTGGACAAGGTATTTACATTTACATTAGTCTGCATTGTAATTTGCAATGAGCAATATTATTACATTGTCATTAAGTGGTACTGTCATAAATGAGGTATCATATGACCATGATTTGCAACATGCTTCTTCTTTACTTTGCTTGTTGGAAACCAGCTGGGAAAGATGCAAATAGTGATCACATGGCTGTGGGATGTTAAAATTACTATAAATGTGCAACAGTTGACGAGCATGGAAATCATGATCACATGACTGCTTGGATGCTGCAACAGTTGTAAATGTGAGGACAGGTTATAAGTCATATTTTTCAGTAAAGTTGTAACTTCAAGTGGTTGCTAAACAAATAGTTATAAGTTGACAACTATCTCTACACAAATTATTGAATTTGACCCAAATGTTATTTGTATATTAAAGCCTTAATGCAAATTACATAAGTCACTAAGAATGAATTTAACAAACATGTAGGAGTAACAGTAGCTCATTAAATCAAGGTTTTCTTGTAATACAATGAAAACAATATGTTTATATTTCATAAGCTGATTTATTTTCTTATCAATTTATAATTCTGCAAATACAGCACAAAAATTGAATATAATTACGATATTTTCCTAATTTATTAGGAAATAAAACTTTTCTCAGTTGCTTTTGTATAGAAAAGCATGAAAATTTAGCTATAGAAATATTGTCTTGTGGTAATCAAGAAGTGTGGTAATCAAGAATCTCATTCTTAGGGCTCACCTGTATTACCAGAGTGGCTTTGTGGTTTTTGCTGTACATACTGGGCTTGAATCCAACAGTAATGCAGGTTCCTGCTGTGTCAAGTGGAAGAAGCTCCCCAGCTTGAGGAGATACAGTGAATTCAGAATCACTGCCTGGTAGAAAGTATGCTGTGTAAGGCTCTGGGTATCTAACACAGAAAAATAAATTGGCCAACAGTTAGCATATGCAACAATAATTCAAAGTAATTTGTGTTCTGCTATAGGATATCAGCAATTAAACATTAATACTATCACCTAGCATCCTGTTATTCACCTTTATCATCTCTGATTTTCCTGAAATATTTGCAGAATAGTAAGATAAATGACTGCTTTGGAAAAGGAAGTACAGTATTATGGCAGTATATCATTTGCATGATGAAATCTTTATTTATATATTTATTTAAGAAAATTTATATGGCCACAGTGTCAGCATTCCAAGTATCATGCAGAATTAAATCAGAGTCCAAGGCAAAACGATCCTTAAAGTTCCAATTTAATAAGTCAGACATCTTAGTACATCTGTGGAATCCCAATTCTGGAAGTTACCTAGAATTCCCACCCAGTTGAAAGTTCATGATCTTGTCCCCACACCCACAAATCCATCACATGGTCCAATCTTCTTCTTCCACGCTGGCATCTCCACCCAGATTTCCTGCTTTCTAGCAAATATAAATTGTATGGCACAGCTGATTGTTGCACAGCTGATTGTCAGATTGACAGTAAAAAATGCTTTAAAAAAGTAAAAAAAAAATCCGGTGATCAGCTGTGTGACAATCAGCTGTTGTGTGCGATCATTGGAACTTTTTAAAAACTTTTTAAAAGCATTTTTACTACCTATTCACCCGAACTGGTAGTAAATTTTTTTTTAAAGTTCTGACAATCAGTTGTGTGACAATCAGCTGTGCTGTGCGATCATTGGAACTTTTTTAAAAAGCATTTTAACTACCTATTCACCCGAACCAGCAGTAAAAAATGCTTTAAAAAATAAAAAAAAACTTCAGATGATCATGTGGCACAGCTGATTGTCACACAACTGTTCGTCTGAACTGATAGTGGTATGGCAGCCTGGATCCCTGAAACCAGCAGCAACCCAGGCCTGCCACTCCCCTGAACCGGTTTTCCAGTTCCATCTTCTTTTTTGCTTCTTTGCAGGCACAGAACTATTTTTATTGCACTGTGCATGCACGCATACCACACATCAAGCATGCACACAAGTGATGCCTGCCGGAACCCACCCATCTTAGACCTGTAGGGGTGGACCTTGAGGATGTTAGGGGCATGCATACCTAGTTTTGGTTGTTGGGAGGGAAGTTGATGGGATGCAAGATGCTGGTCTTGCATTTGATACAGTCAGCATGGTAGTCAATATACAGGTATGTCTCATCTTGGTCCTGGCATCTTTTAAGCTCTGAGCAGAGCTCACAGGCACAGGCACATTGTAATATGGAGAGGTTGGGCCATGAACGAAGTTTCTTATGGTTTGTGCAGCTTTTGGCAAGTGAGTTTATTGTGGAGATGAATTTGTGTTTGCTAGTTTCACTCTCGCAAATGACTGCAGAAGTGTGGGGCCACCGAGATGTCACTATTCTTGAACTCAGGGCTGTCGTAGGAAACATTGATTATTTCATTTGGGAATAATGCTTGATTCCTGGAAGCTGTGGATGATGTTGCAAATCTTTGTGATATAGTCAGATTCATTGATGTCATCCAGATTCGTTGGTGTCATCAGATTCATTGTTGTCAATCAAGATTGCATTGGGACGCTTCAATTTACATTCAATCTTTGACAAGGATGGAGATGTTATTCACAGGATTAGTGGTTTCCTGCAACTGGGGTAGTTGGGTTGCAATAGGATTTCAGGATATTGGTCCTTTGCTTTTCTGCATTTTTTCTTTTTCTTCAAGGTATACACTTCTATGGTGTCCACCTATTCAAGTAGGACAATAAATTTGTCCAGACTAGGCTTGCATGATGGGCAAACTGGGATGTTTGTTAACCCAAATACTTGTGGTGAGCATACGTGTCACATAGGGAGCACTCCATGGAACTCTCATCCTCCTCGAATGCTTCTGTACAGATGAAGCATATTCAGGAGTCGTATGGCTCATCAGTAGGATCTCCTTCTTTTTTGGGGGGGGGGGGGGTTGGCAGTAGAGTGTTTGCCTGGCATGGTAGGTTTGTTGTGGAGGAATTGGTGTGGTTGGTGAGGAAGGATTATTTATTTATTTGTTTATTTTATTTTTATTCCTCCTCTTGGTACACTCACAACGGCATTTTTTGCAGGTATAACTTTGTAGAGGAGCACCTCTTGTTTGCTGGATTTCATTGGGTGGTCAGATGGTCAATTTCCTTTCCTCCCAGTTTGTCCTGCATGCTCATGTGCATGTGCAGTGGAGGGAGCTTCACCCTCCACTAACTTGCCTTGTTTATTTTCAGGAGATTGACCTCCCTCCATGGTAGCTAGCCCAGCTCACACCCTGATCTCCCCGGCTTTGCTGCCTGTCTGCGGCCGTTGGTTAGCCTTGCTGCTTACTGCTTATTTTTGTCTGGTGGGAACTCCTGGATCATTCCCTACTCGTCCTGGCTTCACTGCTTGCCCATGGCTGAGGCCTCTCAGCTCTCTTTCTCTACTTTCCTCTCAGGCCCCTTTCTCTACCTCTCCTCTCAGGCCTCTTGGCTTGTAAGAGGCCTCTTGGCCTGTAAAATATAGTTAAAAACAAATTGGTAGCCTCACTATGTGCTATTGTAAAAAGTCAGATATGGATTTAAAAATGGGTCAAAAGTGAATTAAAAATGTAAAAGGAAAAAGGAAAAACTTGTTTACTTTTGGAAGAGCTCTTTTACCGTTGTTGCTGCTGGTCCACCAACTTTGGGGGGTGGGGGGGAGAAGAAGAGAAAGGGGAAAAATTAGCTTTGGGATATACAGATTCATGAATATTGAACTTTTTGAGAAGTAACTTTAGGTTTGAATATATGGTTTTGGGATTATTGGACAAAAGAGGGACAAAATAAAACTAAATGAGTTGCTCCACCAGCAAGAAATGAATGGAATTTGGTTTAAACATAAAATGGGGTTAGTGGAAAAGGAGGAATTTGCACAAAACATTAGCGGTGCTAAACAGAATTACTTTGAAAATGCAAACAAACAAGGCAGATGGTTAGCATACAAATTGAAAAAAAAGAGAGGATCAAGAAAAATAATGCAATTAATAGATGATCAAAGGCAAATTTGTTATGGAAATGAAAAGAAGAAAAAAAATTATACAACATTACTATGGAAAATTATATGAACAAGAGAATATAGAAGAGGAGTCAAACAGTATTTGCAAAAAGTGAATCTACCCCAGATACCTTAAGATACTGAAATGATACTTGAAGGCAACATAACGATAATGGAGTTAACTGAAGCACTTAAAAAACAAAACAATGGAAAGGCTCCAGGCCTGGATGGATTACCAGTGGAATTTTATAAAACATTGAAGGAATCGTTGTGTCTTCCATTACTAGAAGTTATAAATGAGATTATGTCAAAGTTGAGGATACCAAAATCGTGGTCAGAAGTATATATTACACTTGTACCAAAAGAGGAGGCTGACCCACTTCAAATTAAGAACTATAGACCTATTTCTCTGCTAAATTCAGACTATAAGATATTTGCTTCAATACTGGCCAAATGACTCAAAAAATGCTTAAACAATTTTATTCACCCTGATCAAAATGGGTTTATATCAAAGAGACAAATTAAAGATAATATG